GTGTCTAAGACCTCCTGATTAGTTAGTGGTGACACCCCATATGTGAACTCTAGCATTTAGAGGCTGCCATCATGGTGAAGAGATGATAGGGATTGAGAGAAATAGCATGCGCATCTTTCGCATCAAATTGTCCTGACCCCACTGGTCGAGAGTGAGTGATTCATTTTCATTTTCTATATGCTCTTGTACCCCGGTGAGGACCTAGATTGCTCGGTCTCTATTCTGATGTCTTGAGCTGGATGCATGAGTTGACTGTTTTGAGTAAGTGGTTGAATCAAGTCTAGGTTGGCCAGTGAACAGAAGGGAGACTCTTCCTTTACTCGATTTGCTGCACTCGAATGTCCTTTGTGGTGGTTGTCCAGGTTGTTATTGAGGTTGTGCATGTATTGATGTTTGAAAACCAGTGCGATTCACGTGTTCTGTGCCTTTATGACTTGTCCCCAATGTTGGTTGATTGAAATGTATAAGCTTACCTAGTGTCTGACTTGGTTTGCTTGGGGACAAGCAAACGGTTAAGTGTGGGGGAGTTTGATACACCGTCATTTACACATGTTTTTACCCCCATTCTTACACCGTTTGAGGTGTTGATTCTCGTGTTTTAGGCCGATTTCACGCTAGGTTGTGCTTGTTTGTGATATTTCAGGTCCTAGTACGTGAATGAAGGCTTAGGAGCGAGTCTGGGGTCGATCGGACGAAGAACGGACGAATGGAGAGGTTTTTGGGGAGCTGCACGGGCAGACCAGGGAGACGCACGGCCGTGCACGTGAGCAATATGGCCGTGCGCTTTATGCCGAGGCCATGCACAGGCATACCCTGAAGATTGCATGGTCGTGCACCCTGGCCGTGCGAGAAGCCTGAGGATCGAGTTAATTGATACGCCGCGTTTTGGAGCTGCACGGCCAAGTGGGTGATGTGCACGGCCGTGCACCCTGGCCGTGCGAGTCGGGAATTCCTGGTTTTAGAGCCTATTCCGAGCCAAAAGTGGGAGAATCGTGTTTTCAGAGCAAAAACAGAGCCCTAGAGAGAGAAAGTACGAAGAACACACCCTAGAAGCTGTCTTAGAGCTGGATTTCATCAATCGAGCTTGGAGATCGTCATAGGAGTGAAAATCATCGTCCCGGAGCAGATTATCCTCATCGTTATGAGTATGACTAATCCTATTCTTGTTTTCTCTTCTCTCTCTATGGAGTAGAACCCTTCTCTCACTTGGATATGAAGAACCCTAGTTCCTTGTGTTAGGGATTTGATTGTAATGACTTGGGATGATATTACTGTTTGATTTTAATCGAATGACGCATGTTTAATGAATTGATTTGAGTCTGATCAGCTTTTCTCAATTTCTGCTGCAATCTGAGATAGATAGAATCTGATTAGGTTGTTAGAGCCTCTTCATTCGATAGTAGGAGATTGGCTATACGAGAGTTAGCCAGTTTACTGCTTTGTACTGGTGTTCTTGGCGCCAGTAGTGGAGTTCTGTGTTCATAGCCTCAGCTTTCTATCCCGGTGAAGACTAGTCGTCTGCCGGGTAGTTAGACTGAGAGGGCTTGGTCAGTTTAAGAGATTCCAAGCTACTGTCGGATCTTCCGCAGTCTAATCAACAGTAAATCAACCCAGGGAATTGCAATTGAACCTAACTAAGGAGCTAGGGGGACTCAATCCCGAGTGACTCTTTCCTGCTTTAGAAACCGAACAATTTACTGCTTTCTTGTTGCTTTTACTTTTCACAACAATCACTCGAACTAGTTTGCTAGATAATAGAGAATCACGGAGTAAGCAGTAGATCTAGACCCCGGGTTGATAATTGAACTTGCCTGTTACTGCATTCCCGCACTGCGATTACACTTGGTCGCAGTTTGGTGTTGTGTTTTGGCGTGTCAGCTAACGTGGAGCACAACATTTTTTAATCCCTTTTAAATACAAAATAAGTAAGATAAATATGTGTTTTATTTTGGCAATCTGTCAATGACCATAATTATCTCATTGGTCATTTTATTAACCCACTGTGGCCATAAAATAAATCGTCTGATTAAAAGTATTAACATCAACAATTATAAAATAAAAATAAGTATTAACATTTTTAAAGGGGCCGAAGTCTCTGAAACCCTAGTCCATTCTTTTCTAAAGGCGCCGCACGACAGTTCTTCTTCCATTCTAAGAATTTGCACCCTTATCTTTCCTCTCTTCTCTTTTAAAAAGCAAAACCAAATACGAAAAAAGAAAACTTGCACAAAAATAAAATTTCATTCCCTCTCGTCTTATCCCTCAGCCTTCCGGTCTCTCCGTCTGCTTATGTTCATCGTCTCTTGTTCTGCTTCTGTTCGTAGCCGGCCACCAAATGCTCTTATTCTTTCTACCAAACTCGCCTTCTTCTATTCGTAGCAGACCTATTGCATTTGTTTTTTTCATTTTTCGGAGTTCAATCAAGAAGAAGAGAAATAAATGTCGTCGGCGTAGAGGAAAGGGGCACCACTGAAGATTGGGGCGACGGGTGAGTACAACCCTTTTCTCGGTTGGATTTTATTTTTGCTTATGGTTTGCTTTTATCCTGAATCCTTCTTATGGGTCGATTTAGACCATTATTTTTCATTTTTCATTTGTGTTTGTTTGTATCTTTGGTGTTTTCGATCATGGAGGACGTAGGATAGCAACGGTGACTCCACCTCACTCGGCGGCAAACTTCACCTTACCGGCGGCGAAGAAAGAACGGCGACGAGGGATGTGATTGTTGTTAATAGTTATTTAGATTCAACCCTTATTTTCTTTTACTGTTGTATTATTTTTACATGAAATGAACTAATTATTTAGATTATTATGTAATAGTATTGTAGTTGTAGTTTTATTTAATGATATACCTATAACTGTAATGTATCGAGTGAGAGTCGCAAATTGATTAGAAAAATCATATTTCATTGTAATTCTGACGAGGCATCAAAAAATTTGATTTATCAATAATGTACAATGTGTGAGGAAAAGATTCCTTTCATGCACAATTTTGATTCTACGAATAAATTATTTTCGTCAGTGTATCTACTTTCTTTGACGTCATGTTGGAAAAAAATGTAGTTTTAACGAAAGTTTGGTGGCATTAGTAAAAATAATATTTCTGACTGTCCGTCGAAAATAATAAATTATTGACGCCTAAACAACCTCACAAATGTGTGTACAACGTATAAAAAAAAATTATCTGGCTCAAATTCTCATTACAAATATTTATTTCCGACGATTTGTCAACGTTAGTATAAATAGTATTTATGACGTCTATTTAGAAATGCTTGATTATTTATGAATATAATTCATCAAAAATGAAAAAAAATTCCGTAAAAAAAAATCATCAAATTCGGCCGTCATGAGTGATTTCATTTGTGATGTCATATTTTTTATTACTAACGATTTTATGTCGTCGATAATATTTTTGTTCCGACGCCTGGTCATAATATTTTATTAGCGACGGGACAATTTCTGATGACGTCCGATGACTATATGTCGTCGGAAAAGTTCATTTCCGACGCAAATTGATTTATTTCGACGAATAACTTGACGTCGGTAATGACTGTCTTTTTTATAGGCAAGGGACTTTCAAATTCCTTCTTCTACACATTTACCATACTGTTGCGTTGCTTTGCTTGTTGTGAGTTAAGGGAAAAGACATCAGCGGCGGTGAATCCTAGCGGCGGCTGCTCCAATTCCCATTGCAGATCCATCTTCTTCCCTAGCGGCGGCTGCTCCAACTCCTCCGTCGGCGGACAGACAGACGTTATCGGAGCTGTTGGGGGTTTCGAGATTCAAGAGCTTGTGTGGATTTCGGTGAGGGCTGGTGGCGGCGGAGCAGAGGCAGAGGAAGGTGTATTCCGATTGTGAGGGGAATGGCGGAGTGGTTTGCGATGGGGGAGAAATGATTTTCCTTTATTTGTTTTTTTTGTTGAAATTTTCCTTTCTTTCTTTGTGATTAATATATGAATTTGGTCGTTTGTTTTAAATTAAAAATATGACATGTCACCTACGTGGCGAATGTGGCTGATTTGTTGCTGACGTGTGCGATGATTTGGTGTCCTAGTCAGCCTAACGTTAAACTAACTGACGGAGTCTCTAACACCGTTAAAGTCTGTAACGGAAATTACTATATTTGGCACAAAAGTTTCAAAATTCTGGCTATAAGTGGTATTTCTCCAAATTTGGCTATTATTGTCACAAGTGCGAAAGTTTTGGCTATACAAGTGTATTTTGCCCATTTTTTAATTGATATCGATTTTATAAATGAAATGAAAAGTTAAAAATATTATAAGTAACATATTAAAAATATTTGACGGCATAGTAGTCTTAATTTTGTTATAGTAATTAATACATGGAGTTTATCTAATTAGTTTTGTATTTAATATCATCAAACATAATTTGTCTAACTAGTTTAGACTTTACACTATAATAATCTAAGCTTTGTTGGTTGTGTGTCCGAATCCTAATTGCACTTATTTATTTGTTCATTTTTTTTAGTTAGTGTTGAGTTGAAAAACTAAAGAAAATGATATGGAAAATCAATGCTAAGTGAAAGGTTGAGATGGGAGAAAATTTGAAGTGTTTATTTGAAAAGTGCTTATTACATTAAATAGATAGATAGATCTTATTGAAATATGTTATTTTGATACTAAAAAGGGAGATTTTTACGTAAATAAAATTATCAAAATTTTTCTTGATAAATAATTCGAAAAACCTATTTTATTTATTAACAATCAAATATCAACAATAAAGAGTGTTGGCGTCTACACCAAAAATATTTTTGAAATTTTGAATAAACCATAGTTTGCCTAACCTTAACTTGTTTTCTTCCGTCCTTTTCAGTGTCTCCAATGTTGAATTACTAATGGGCCAGATTGCCGATGTTATCAGATTGTGTGTGTTGCTCAATCCTCAATTGTAGGTCATCAATTTTCGAATGCACACGAAAGTCTAAATGTCAAAAAACTGCCACCACTTACATATGTGAGTCAATGATTGCTGAATGCGCAATCTCGTATTGTAAACAAGTGTTTATGCCCGATCCCATCATCATCCTAACCGAGTTGTTCAGTAGTAAAATGATCTCACTATTACTTCTTATCATTTCCAACTCAAGTCTTCTGGCTGCTTCTGTCTCTCTTTCCATCAGAGTTGTCACGCCAGCCGGCGTGTAACCGGTTGTACCGGGTTCAACCGATACCGGTCATAAAATCGGCGTGACACCACCGGTATAAGCGGCATGATCGATATACGAATCTCTAAGTAAAATAACCTTATTTTAGAGAATTTAATTGATAAAAATTATTTTATTATTTATTTTATGAGTATAAAAGTTAAATATTGATGTTATTTGTTGGATTCAAGTATAAATGTTTAGGTATTGACGTTAAATGTCATGTTTAAATATGAGTATTTATAATTTTATTTGTAATATTGACCTCCATGAACCGGCACAAACCGGTATGTGCCACCGATCGAACCATTCCACTTGCTAAACCGGCACACTGGTATAAACCGGTTTGACAACCTTGCTTTCCATCCCCACCAAATTTTTATTGTTACAATAATATAAATCATTATCTAATCAATATCCAACCCCAAAATGTTTGTGAATATTAGCCATTAGTTCTATCCTATCTAGTTGCCAACTGATTTCTAATCACAAAATCAATTTACTAGCGACAATGATGTGGTCGCCATCTCTAATCAAATCTACATCCTCAATTTCAGCTCCTTCTTTATTCAAGATTTTCGATGGGCTGAAACCATATTTCTTTCCTCCAATCTCCAAAATTTCCTCAACTGACTTTGGCAGCAAGACTAACTTCCCACTAACATCACCTTTCTCCGGGCAACTAATCGTCACACGCGCTGGAGGGCCACTTGATGAGCTTGGAAACCCAGAAAAGCTGCCTCTAGAGACATCTATGTCACCTGTAAAAAATAAAAAAAAATATGAATGACCTCATACCATAGAAGTTACTACTTTAATTTACAACCTTTGTTGCAAATAGGAATAGACAATTTTGACATAACCTAGTCGATCCGATAGCTTGTTTGAGATTCATACTTCAACTCAAATGTTGTCATCATTAAATGGAGTCACAATCTCAATTTATTAAATAATTTGGCTGAATGAAGCATGTTATAGTCTAATGAAATCAACCCATGTCCTGAGCCAAACTACTCAATCTAACCCACGCATGTTGCGGAACAAGCATGAATAAATATTAGGGCAAATACCACTACAACACCCAAATTATAAAAAATGGCACTTGTATCCTATTGTATTCAATACAAAATAAAAATAAAAATAATATTTGTTTCCCCTTCTCCTCTTCGTCGTTCGGATACAATTTCAGTCGCCTTCTCCGACCATTCACCCACATCGAGAGTGTGACGACGGTAGCTGTTGCAGCTAGAAGAAGAAAGATGATAGGGTGTTTTTATTCTGCTTCTCCGACCATTCACCCCAATCCCGTCAACATCTCCCTCCTCTTTGGTTTCTATTATGCTTCCTAGATCCAAATCAAAATCCATAATTCACTCGAGGGAAAAAAACATGTTGAATTGGAAATGAAAACCAGATCTAGCGGCTCATCTCGTTTGTAGGCGTTGGGCAATACTCCCGTTGTCGGCCCCGACGCAAACTAAATCTGGTGGCTCATCTGGTGAATCCCCCACCGATCACCGGCGTGATTGGAAGGTTTCTTGCCTCCTTTTGCCTCCTATATGGCCTCAGAGCAAGAAGGAAAATATCGAAGAGGGAGACACTTTTCCCTTCCTCTATGATCTTCAAATTGGGAGAGATGAAGGACATGAGATTCTGTTGTGCTCCATCCCCCTTTTTCCACACATAAAGTTTCAGCTAGTTTATAGATCGAACAAATCCAGTTCACAGAGAACCATATCAGTCGACCTTCTCAACTCCACATCCATAGGAGTCTCTTGAGTGGGGAATAGAGTCGATGATGGGTGTTTGATGGAGGTAGTGATGATGTCGCTTTGGTCGGATCGTAGAAAGTGGGATTTGAAAACATCGATGGCTTCCCACGAGGAAGAGAATCCAGTCGGTATTGGGGTCAAGAAGGCCGCTTTTATTTGTGGATGAGGAGCGAGAAAGAGACAGAGATAGAGGTGAAACATCGATCTGGAAGAGAGAAGCAGGGTTCTCGGTGATCGATGGGGGATTCACTAGAGATCAGAGGAAGAGGACAGCCGGAGATGCGGATCAGAGTTTTTGTTTTGTTTTTATTTTAGTTTATTCATTTTAGATTGAAAAATAAATGAAAATTGATATTAAAAATTCTATGTCATATGTCGCATCAGCGCTAACTAGTTATTAAGTTAAATATTAACCGTCAACGCCGGTCAATACTAACGGAAGAATAGTTTAGGACAGAAATGGAATATTGAATAGTTTAGGACATAAGTGACATTTTTTTGATAGTTCCGGTGTTGTAGTGGTATTTGCCCTAAATATTAAGGTACCCACTTCACTAAACCCTATTGATATCCCTAGTTTTAGTACAAACAAAGTCATAGTTCCAATGATTCACTTACCAGTATTAGCTGCTGACATTATTCCAAAGAGCGAATTCCTGAAAGTGTTAACTCTTCTCCTTCTGGAACTGTCGGTCCATGTGCTTTCAGGTACTACGGGCATGACGCATCGAGGAGAATAATCTACTGATGCATCGTAGGGAGCTATCATGGGCTCACTACTATACTTGGCAATTCGCTTCTTCCCAGTAACAGTATAAGTTGGAGTACTGCTACTACTAATAGTACCTCCTAGCTTTGATGTTTGACTAATGGTGGGAACCTTTGTCTTTGGTATCTTTTTTACTTCTTTCCTATTTTGGAACAAAATTTTGATCTCATCGTGGCCTTGATGATCTGCCAAAGCCCTCGCAGTCCATCCATTAGAATCTGGCATGTCAATGTCTGCTCCTTCGTCTAGAAGGAACTTAACGATGTCGATGTTTTCTTCAGATATCGCTGCGTGAAGAGCTGTGGTTCCGGTGCTTGTTGGTTTTGTTACATCCCCACCGTAAATAACGATTTTCTTTAGCAAATCCAGGTTGTTTTGCTCAATTGCAGTGAATGCAAACTGACCAGTATCACCTGAAGAAAGTGTAGCACCGTTATCCTTTAGAAGCTTGATCACAGATTCGTGCTTCCCAAGCATTGCATCCCACAATGGAACATTGCCTTCTGAATCTGCTCAAACAAATCAAAATGAGTTAGTATGATCTAATAGCCAATAGTGATAAGATTAGGCTCCATAGATTCAAAGAAATGCCTCCAATCTAATGAACAAATTGGCTACACACACCTTTTCTGTTAGGATCTGCTCCATATTCCAAAAGTAAGGCCACACAATGCTCGTTACCACTTGAAGCAGCAATATGCTATTACATATAAGTGTTACAATAGCTTAAGAAGGATATCACTCCCCACAAAAATGACTGACAAATTTATGTGTTATCATGAACTTTACAATTAACTTTATGTAAAAAAAATACCAGGCACATATATTTACCATTGCAGTTCGTGCACCATTCTCAGCCTCATTTGGATCGGAACCGCGCTTTAATATTTGGTTCAACAATAGATCATCCCCTCTCGTAGCTGCGAAACATAATGTAAGAGGCAAATCCATTCTTCCTTGTGCCAACATGTGCTCTGTCTCTGATAAAATTTCTTGCATGATTGGATCATCCTTTTCCTTCAAATGCTGCATCAAGCACCAAATAAGAAAATGTACTGATATCATTAACACGACAAAAAGATGCACCGCATAAGAAAGAAATCGAGAAATTTTTTTAGCCTACCTACCTGAAGAACATTATTCATAATTATGGTCCCATCTCCAACATTAGCTTGAATAAGATTTAAAAAGGCAGTTCGATTCAGGCGCAAAAGCTGACTTAGTCTTTTTGTTCGAACTGTGAACAATTGTGGCCTGTAGCATAACACACCAATCTCACCAACCACATCACCAGTCCTTGCCTCACCAACAACATGTTCTATGGCATTCTTATGCACAATAAGCTCCTACAAATACACATGTTTTATTGTAAGCAAAAATATGCTTCTATCATAATATAAATCTTATGTTCATAAGTTAAACATTCAATCAAGAATTATCATTTCGAACATAATAAAATTAGTGAGAAGCCAATATTTATCTTTTTTGTTGTACTTTGTTAAAGTTTCAAAAGGAGGAAAGGCTTGTAAACTTTACATTCTCGCTTTGTCTATTTGCTCCAAATGAAACATATTTGTTTCCATTAGTATGGGTAGGAATGGAGATAAGTGCTTACCACAGCACCAGAAACCAAAAAATACATGTCTGTGGGTGCTTCATTCTGTAAAATTACATCTTCTTTGGGAGGAAAGTACTCAGCCTTCATTTCTGAGACCTTAAACCAATTCAAATGGTTTGTTAGCCTATGGAAATGCACAATTGTCAAATCCACAAATCAACACAAAAATTATTTGTTTTCCTTATTTCATCATATAATATCATAACCTAATTGTAGCATAACAAAGAAAATGAACAAGAAAACTGGTAATGAGGTATCACCATTCAAAGGAAAGGAGGGGGTGGGGATGTCACAAAGAGGTCTCAAACATACAACAAGTTATATTTTAAATATTGTCAGTAGACTTACCAATTGGAAAAGTAAGTCATTTGAAACACCATGAAACAAGTACACCCTATCCACGAGTGAGTAAAATAAATAGTTTGAAATACTAGAACGAATGGCTTTAGGAAGTGAATCAATGGCTTCTTGTTGATGTAGTCCCTCTGAATCCGTTCTGTACTTCAAACTCAAATGAGAAATCATTTGATCTTGCAGTCGAACGGGTAAATGATTTCTTTGTGCAAAACTTGAAGCAGCATGAATTGTATCTCTCTAAGATCGCATTGGAAATGTGTTAGAAAAATATAATACACAAAATATGGGCATAAAAGTTGCATGCATTTAGTCAAAGTCATTCCCCTATGTAATTTTTGTATATTGGTTAGCATTAAACGAAATGTAGTATAAACAAAGTCATGAAACAATCACTCACAAATTGTCTGGTGCGAGTGGCTGCATGCACCACCAAATTGGTCATATTTCCAATAATGTAGGAGGTCAACCCAAGATTAAACAACATATACATAACGTCGAACGTCATTTCATCGGGGTTCACAGCATGCAAGTCACCATATCCAACTGTACTCATTGTTGTTATAGCCCAATATAGGGACTTTATATATCGAACATACAATGACTCTGTTTTAAAATCTTCCCAAACTGAGCCAATCCACGTCTTTGTGGGGTCGTAGTAATGCGCAGCTATACGGTAGAAGAAACATGAAGCCAGATGAAGTACAAAAAGTGTAACCTAGATAACAAAACCAATCATTAGAAGCAACCTAAAAACAATTCCATAGTGCATAATATGGTATGAGCTTCAAACTTACAGAAACAAGCCTGGCACAACGAGTCCAGAAATAGCTGTAGTTCTTATCTTTCTCCAATCTAGCGATTCAACAATGTTAATAGAATAGCTTATTTTAAGAACTCCAACTAGGTAATTTCATTTTAAGCTTGTATTCAAATCCTTAACCCTAAGATTACCTTGCAAAGAATTGACCGACTCGCCGGAGACGCCAGAGGCGGAGCATACTAACGTAGCCATAGGATTGAAGGTTATCAGGCAAGATCACACGAACGATCTCAGATGGAATTGTGGAGATGAGATCGAAGAGGAACCAAGTCTTGATGTACCTCAAAGCAATCTTCTTCTTCGAATCGATAAGAAGGTAAGAGGTTTTGTCAAGGTAAGCAACGAAGAAGGTCAACACAATGTCGACAAAGAAAATGGCATTTACGACGTTGTCGGTGATGGTGAGCACCCCACTCGGATGAGATAGGAAGCCGAATTCAAATGGAGACACCCATGCTGTGTAGAAAACCAAAAAGACAAGGAATGTCTCCCAGCTCCTGCCAGATTGCATGCACAAATGAATTGAATTATATCCCTAATTGGCAAAAATTAGTGGGTGAGGGAAATGTAAAGTTGAAATTCTTACCTATAACGAGGATCGAAGGGGGAGATAACAAAGTAGCTTACACTAATGCGACGAATACTACCAGTGGCACCTAGAGAAGGGAGAATTTCACCGGTGATACTAAAATGGCTGCCGTCATTGATAGAGAAATGCTCGACATCTTTCTCATTCATTCGCATTCCCTCCTTCTCATCGTATGGTCCAGTGAACCAAGACTTAATCTTTTTCTTCCCCATGGTCGGTCAAAGGTCAAGCTTTGTTTCTTCGTCTTTCTTCTTCCCACATTTGTAAATCTTTTCAAGGAGAGAAAACGAAGACGACTCCATTCGTGTTGGCATCCAACTCTTGTACCCAATACCATGATACGATGAGAGAGCTAGATCAATCTCTGAATGTGTGTATCATGATTTTTGAGTCTCACTTTTTGTTGTCAGTTTGTGCTAGCTTTGCGCGGCATAATAGGTGATCCTCTTTTTTCGTTATCTTTTTATGTCTTTGTATTTTGAGGAAACCTTTATCGTTCTTGCCGGGTTTGCCTCTATTTCCTTCAAATTATTTGCATTTTTTTACATTTTCCTGTTCACTGAAATATTATCATTTATTTATTTCTTTGTAAATTTTGTAACCATTAACTATTATTTTTTCACAATTTTTCCAGCTTTATTTCTTGTAAATTGATTTCAGACATAACATATATACTATATCCATTCAAAGTGATTATGGTTCCCATAAAATAAAGTATTATGGGTCACAATAAATTATATTTAAAATACATAATAATTCTTCTAATAGATACAATTTATTAGCCAAACCTTTCTAAATACAAAATATTAGTCAATTGTTAACTCCTTGTTAGCAGTTTTGTTAGTAATATTGAGTTGTCAATAAGATACTGACTTGAAAGAGGAACATGACATTCAAAATTCTAAATTTTTTTAATTAGTTACAAAATGAATGAAGGTAACAACAAATGACTAATATATTTATAAATTACAAAAAATTTAACTAATAATTAAAAATTTAAAATATTTTCCTAATAAACTGTAGGGTAAATACAATTTAATATCCAAACCTTTCATTTTAAATAATTTAATATCCAAACCTTTTCGAAAACAATTTAATATCCAAATCGTCAACTTTCAGTCCGTTTGACCGTTAGTTGACTCTGACGTGGCAAAAAATAAGTGACCTGGATATTCTTTTGTTGATGTGGCTATGATTCAAAGTGACCAACATGCCACATAGATATTTAAATTGATTTTCAGTTAATTTTTTATTTTTACTAACAGAAAAAAAAATAGAAAAGGGTAAAGAAACATCCAAAAAACTCCCTTTCCATTCTATTCATTCTCTCTCTATTCTAACCAAAAATTGTCATCCACCCAATCGACCCCTCTCCTCTGTCGAAAGCTCTCTGACAAAGCCCTAGCCGTCGCCAATACAGGACGAAGGCCGATCTCCCGCCGGCGCCGTTGAACGCTGCGCGAACTCGAAGTCGCCGCTCCCATCATCATGTGACCAGCGGAGAAAGCGAGCGTAGTTCGCGTCACGCTAACCAGGCCACAGCTGTTGCGAAGGAGGCGAGTCAGCAGCGGCGGAGGAATCGATGAAGCTGTGGTGAAGCAAACGTCTAAGCTAGGTAATGTGCTTCTTTTTGTGTTGTGGAACCCTATAATTTCCGATTTCCTTTCTCCCCATTTGATTGAAGGCTCTGTTTTATAGTGGTTCGTTTGAGGGAATCCAACAACTTGATTGTGACGAACATAGGGAGACCACTACAGAAATCATCACGAAATTTCCCTTCTATTACAAGGTAAGAAAAATGATGTATTGGGTTTATTCGTCATTGCACTGCGAATCAAAAAAGCTTTGTTTAGGGGAAATTGTCACAATACATCTTTGTTTTCTTGTTTTGACATTGCAGATGACTGAATATTTAGATATTTTATACCATCATGGTGGAGTCATGGACTTCTTGCGTTTGGAACCACGATATGTTGGTGATTTTTCAGAGAAAATATCGATGGATATTAATAAAGTGTCGTACTTCGAACTTTTGAATGTGGCAACAGTTTACTTGAATGTGGCATTGGTATATATAGAAATCCTGCAACCGGGAACCAGTTTGTCCATGTATGTAAATGTGGCATCGATTAGTCTTGTTGTATGGTTCTTTCAACTTGACTGTGATTAGTTGGGACATTAACTGCTCACCATGTTGTTCATTTTCAATTCTCGAGGGTGGAGAATCGTGGAATTGGTAATACTGCAGACTTTGTCGGTACCCAACAACTCAGCCTCAGATGGATTGACTATGAAGTAGTAGACTCTTATTAGTTGGTCCAACTTAGGAGTATTAGTATTAGATTGCACTTTTCTTCTTCTTGATGTAAATGTGAAGCAACAAAGATGAAGTTGAGCTTGTGGTGAAGAGAGCCAATGTAGTTTGTTTGGCAATTTTCTACCTAATTTTGCATTTTGTACAGGTTCACTTCATATATAGATAGACCAACACTCTTCTGCTCTTTAGTTATCCATGTTAAGCAGAGAGACAAGATGAATGATATTTTGCAGACTTGACAAAGCTGTTGATGTAAAGATGGTATTCAGAACAACAAGTTGTGTTATATTCATCTCAACTGTGTTTCTTATCCTTCCAACCACCATATCTCTGCTAATGACAAGTTTAAAACATACATAGTTGTATTGCAAACTGAAATAGGTTCATAGCTTGGGTACATAATCACACTCCTTCACCACTAAACAATACACAATAATCCCTTACTAAACTCATGAAATTACAACAGAAGCCATAACCACTACAACACATATCATCACAATCTTGATCTTGCTTTCAAGAAGAGCAAACACAATGCGCAAGCTTCTCAACTCGGTTTCCATTCTTGCATGATCCTCCCTAGTACTCATCAACTCGTCTAATAGAATTTTTTTTTTTGCCTTTTTCCTTCTTTCTGCCTTCATTCGAGCAAGCATACAACTCTCTTCCATTTCGATCAGTTTGGTCTTCAGCTCGTCTTCAGCTTCCTTCCAAACTTTATGTTGGTACTCATCAACCCACACGAAAAACTTGCACTTTGCATACGAATCCTACAAAAAAGAGCTCATCAAACATTTACAAGAAATAAATCAGAAAGCCTACCATCCAAACAAATTTTATCCCTTCCAATATAGGCAACAATAGAACTTTCTTCCCGGATTCTTATCGGTACCAGACACTTGCAAAATACATGGACAATCGTGGCATATAGATCTTGAATCGTGATTTGTGTTGGTCGAAGATGAAGAACCGTCCCTCGCAGACATGTTCCTTCGCAAAAGCTCCATCGTCTACTTCGCCAATGCTCCGCCGTCCCTCACAGACAAGCTCACGTTTTGCGAATCTTACATGGGGAGGGAGGAAGTCGGCGCTCGCTTTTGGCAGGCTGGATTTGGTTTTGAGGTGGGCGACAGGGCTGGGTTTCGCTGGAAAAGAGAAGGGTTTCGAAAGAGGGAGAGGGAGAGAGATGAAGTTGATTAAAATGAAGAGAGCAGCCCAACAGATGCTCTCCTTTTCCCCTTTTTAAATTAATAAATAATCCCTAATTTTTTTAGTTTCCACTTCATCAAAACTCAGGTGACGTTTACAATCACTTACCACGTCAGAGTCGGTCAAACGAACGAAAAGTTGATGATTTGAATATTAAATGGTTTTTGAAAAAGATTTAGATATTATATTATTTAAAATGAAAGTTTTGGATATTAAATTGTATTTACCCAAATTGTATTTCCCAAAAATAGGGTTAATTGCATTGTTGGTCACTGAGATTACGAAAAACGTTCATGTTTGGTCACTCAAAATATTTAAATCCATTCATGGTCACTACATTTAGTAAAACAATCCAAATTTGGTCACTCTCCGTCCAACTCCGTTAACTTTGTCTGATGTGGCAGTCAACTCTCATAGTTGACTGTTATATGTATGACGTGGCCATTAAAAAAATAAAAATAATTAAATTTAAAATTTCCACATCATTATCATTACCACTAAAATAAAAAATAAAAAAACCCTAAACCTCACTCCCACCTCCGCCGCCTCCATCGCTCTTTCTCCGCTGCAAGGACCCACAGCCCCCAGTCTCCTCGTCGAAACCTTGTCGGCGCTCTTCGTTGTCCTCCTCGCCGCACGAGCTCCTAGTTTCCCCTATCCCAAATTCAGAGCATTCCATGGCGATGTCAAGAGCTGTTTTCCGGAATCCAAAAACAATATTCCTCTTCTCTTTGACTAAATCCCTTCTCTTTGACTATATCTCGAGCCTCCTCTGCTTCCAAATCGGAATACCCCATGGAATGAATCACTTTAGGTCCCTGTCCACGAGCAAACCCAGGAACATTCGGCACGTCGCTGAACTTTCACAAGCAGAGCACCAAAAAATTGTCTTCGTAAACTTCACTATCTGACGAACACCCGCCGACGCCCTTCACTTCAACTTCCCATCTCCCTCCCCTGGATCCGAAACCCTCGTTGTTTCCTCCCCAGATGTGCCAGCCTTCTGCACCTCCTTTGCCACTCCCCTGTAGTTGATGCCAAGGACTTTGGCGTTGAATCTGATGTGCTGAGCGAGTTGGAACCGGTCCGCGTAGGCCTGGAGGTAGTCGACCCTTGGCGGTGGGTTGGGAACTCGACGGTGATAGAGTCCGACCACCGTCTCCGTGAGCTTTCCCCCCAAATTTTCATGAATGCTAGCTAGTATTCGGTTGGTTTTTTCTTGAGTGTTACAGTAGGGATCAATTTTGTCGACATCTTTGATCCTTTCCCCGTCTCCGTCATCAAAACTCCATCCATCCATTTGGCCGGAGAAAATGCCATCTTTACTCGGAAAGTAAGCAAAGCTCAATCCATCAAATCTTGCACGCCAACTACTTCATTCCGTCGTCTGCTCCACCTCTCAGCTGAATTATCTATCTTTCAGTATCAGCGATCCCTTTCGGTAATCTGAAACTCAGCCAAAACTCTTGCTTCTCGCTCTCTGCTTTAGCTTTACAAACCCACTTGAATTAGAAAATTAATATAAATGATTTATTTTTATTTTATTCAAGTGGTATTGATAATGACGTGGAAATTTCAATTTTTTTTAATTGCCATGTCATACATTTAACAGTCAACTATGAGAGTTGACTGCCACATCAGACAAAGTTAACAGAGTTGGACGGAGAGTGACCAAATTTGGATTGTTTTACTAAATGTAGTGACCATGAATGGATTTAAATATTTTGAGTGACCAAACATGAATGTTTTTCATAATCTCAGTGACCAACAATGCAATTAACCCCCAAAAATATAAATTTGCACAACCTAGAGAAAATCCGCCCAAATCATCTTTATCCCACAAATATTGAAGTTGTTGGGTCGACGGCCGATAACCGGGACTATTGAGTTTCTGCAGAAAGCCCAAAAGTAGCCCACCAAAATCGAACACGTCCGGCCTGCCCGGCAAAACCCAAATATTTCTCCCGAAAACTCGCGTCACGACTAACGATTCTTCCAGAAAAACACACAATTAGTAGAGATTCAGAAAGCGAGATCGGAGAGCAGTCGAAGAAGGGGAAAGGGCGAGCAGGAGCCGAGAACTGCAAAGGAACAATGTCTACTTTCTTGCAATCCTTTCTGGATCCACGAAAGAACTAGTTCGCGAGGCAGCACATGAACGCTATCTCGAACCGCCTAAAGAAATACGGTTAGCTTTTTTCTTCTCGAAACCCTAATTTTTGCTTTCCCTCTTTTTTTCCCGGTCTCTTCCTGATTCCGCTGTCTTACCGTTTGTGTCAATTGATTGATTAGGTCTGCGATATGACGATCTGTACGACCCTTACTTCGATTTGGACGTGATGGAGGCGCTTAATAGGCTTCCTAGGGAGATCGTCGACGCTAGAAACCAGCCTCTCAAGCGCGCCATGGACCTCTCCATGAAGCACGAGTATCTTCCCGCGGACCTTCAGGTATGAGTTGTTGATCTCAATCTCTCATTTCCTGCTTATCTTGCCATCTGATGTCTCAGGGAAATTCTGATCCGTAGTATATGCCGAATTTGCTATTGAAAGGGCTCTGTTGAGATTAAATTTCATTTCTCGAAATCATTGGGATTAGCTCCCCCTTTAAGAGGGCTAGTGAATTCTTATTCACTCATGCATTTAGGTTGATTCAAGTGCTCAAAGGCGCTGACATCATTGCGGATGTTGCAGTATTGAAATCTTTGAAATCGTGTTATTTGTTGTGTCCTTGTTGCTAATAGTGAGTTCCGATCCAAATTATCATGACAGTGAAATGTGAAATAAGACGACACAAATTTCAGAGTAGTCAGCAGTTCTTTTCAGGCTTAGGGAAGCTTTGGGATGGGCCATGTACGGTGCACCACTTGGGTGTCTGATGTTGCCTGATACTTAATATAGTCGCATAGGCCTTCTTTTTCTATTGGACTCTACTTCTTCTGGACAAAATATCGGTGAATTCGTAACATGCTAATCATGTGTTCTCAATATCTTGCAGGCAATGCAAACACCATTCAGGAGCTACCTCAAGGACATGCAGGCTCTGGTAAGTTGTCTTCTACGAAATTCAGTTGCTGTCTTTCCCATGTGATTTGAGCGTTTTCACTACTGGTCTGGTTTTTTATTTACTCAAAACATTGTTAGTGTTGGCCAAATTTTGCTATGTTTGTTAGCGTTTATTGGTTTATTGGGCTATGGCGGAACAGATTTTGAATTTCTCCATACCGTCATCAAGAGAATAGCTTCTAGTTTTAAATTTTCCTGTTCCTTCTAGTTTTTTGGTGAAATCTTCACATTTCCTGTTTGTGCAGTGCTGTTGATAAAGTCAGACCTTGACTTTTAGCATTTTACTCCTTGGTTAAATTTTGGAGTTAGGTATTAGATGAGAGTTCGGTCCTTTGGAACTCATGTACCATTGACATACGAATTTAAGATTTGCAGTAGGTTTGTGTCACTGATTGGGTAGCTGTGGGTGATGGGCCATGGAAACATGTCTTTACTTGTGTAGTGTAGCCTACATCTGCAGGTAACTTTTATTGCAATTTGCTGACCTGTACCTTCCCTTCTTTGTATGTTGAGGCATCATTATGGTTTTTTATTTTGGCTTAGATACTGTAGTATATGCTTCTGATTTAGTGTTGGCTTATCCGGTAATCTCTACTGTTATGAGTCATGCCCCTTAACCTATGTGCCCCTCACTTATTATCTCGGCTCTCAGCTTTTATGTTGAAAGCATGTCCCTTGAATGTGTAAACATCTCACTTTTCAGCTGGTGAATGTTGTGAATGGTAAATACCCAGCAAATAGGCTATTCATTGTCAAAGCGTAACAATTGAATCCCCCTTCTTAATCTCTAGGGTTCATCAGTGTACCTCTAGAATGCATATCAGCATTTGCACCTTGCAGTTGTAGAGCAGAAGTGTGACGCATAGCTAAGAACAGTATTCGTTGCTTGCTTGGCTGTCGGCCTCAGTATTTGGTTGGTATTCTGAAACTAAATAGTACAATGTGGAATTTGTTTACAGGTGAAAAAGGAGAATGCAGAACGCGAGGCTCTCGGAGCTCTACCTCTCTACCAACGTACAATATCGTAAGCTGCTCAGTACTTAAGGTGCTTATCGAAGTGGATTTCTTGTTTATTCCAATCCGCATCCAGTAGATTCCCCATCGGGGTGATGTTTGATATATTTTTGAACTTTGTATGTCTGCCAAACAGGATAGCTCCGACGTATTGAATTTTCTGTACCAGCAAGTTTTCTAATAATCACAGATAAGACTGTTTTAATATCTGGTTCTTCTGCATGCAATGTGAACCTCTATTGCATCTAGGTTGTTAATATAGCAACGATGCTTGTGCAAGTCTACATTTTAACTCTCGTGGATGTCGTCTATTTTTCTTCGTCTTCTGTCACGAACGATCTGTTAAAAATCAAATGTAAATGTTCGTTTTACTGACTATCGTGAATGCAAGTAACCAATGCAAGTAACTGATGAATCAACGAGCCGATCAGTGGAGTTGTGGCATTTGGGTTTAAGGGCACGAATGAATCATGAATGCGTCTTCTTCATCACCGAAGGAATACTGGAACCCCCACATGTAGGTTAAGTTGTTCCTTTCTGGATCTTCTGTAGGAAGCTTTCACCACCATTGTCTACCCGAAAAGAGAGGTCTTTCTCTCAACGATTTGAAAACTTACATGGGTAGGCTACGTCCCATCCCTTTCTCAGCAACAAAAGGGACCGACGAATGGTTTGTAAATTCGAAACTCTTAAATAGTTAAAAGAGATTGGGGAGGGCACAACACGACCCCAAAATAGCGTGAATCTTGCACTATCTGCTAACAAGCTCTTTCGATCAAAATTGTTGACGTTAAGTTAACATTGACATATAGATGTTTTTACGTTCAAAGTTCCAACATGAAGGACTGATGGTGATTACCAATTTGTCCTAAATCAAATTGTTATCAGTGCATTGCACTAGTAATTCCCAAATAATATAGCTTATGAAGTAAAATTGACCACGTACCTTCATAGCTTGCACTTTAAAGTAACCGTAAATATTGATGGTAGTTATCAAAGTTTGATATCATGTCAATAACCTACTAGTTTCGATACATGACGTCGATAAAACAATCTCAAGAAGAGATCTCTCGTGCAATTGCAACAAAGTTAGATGGCATCACGATCACATTTGCTGCTATCATTCATGTTGGGGTTTGGGCTTTGGTCCCAATCAATTAACATATGCGAGAAACAAAGGCATATGTGTCTGTATTCGGGTGGGCGAGTCTATGAATAAATTCTGTGCTCTGTATTGTGCCATTCTATTCTATTCTAATTCAATCCTCAAATGGAACATTACCATGTGCTGCTTTTATGTCGAGCGATCCCATAATCCGTCTTAACTACCCACAACTGTGATGTACTTAGGTATTATCTTGGCCACAGTGGTATACTAATAGAATTCTCATGTGAGGCCATTTATGAATTTGAGATGAGATGGACAGTTTTCCAAACCCTGCCCGCTGATGTTTAGAGAAACACATGACATGATACGATACGACGGCAAGACCAGTGGTGACAACAAACAAACTGTTGGCATTTGTTTCTGCCTAAACTGATAATCTTCTCCTCGTCAGGACTCAGGATAGATATTAATTTGATCATGTAGTACCCGGACCCGGGTAATAATGCCTAGAGTAGAGGAGTGCTAATTAGGACATCCCAACTGATCATCAGCTGCTGAGCTAGTGGTTGTCGGATTGCATGACAGGTGTCCTTAGGTAAGTGGAGACACGTGGTGGTGGTGGTAATTAAGGTCCCGACGACCGATGTGTTCCTTGACTGTTGCGGATCGTATGTTACACATTCGTTGGCTATGTACGATGGCAATTGATGGAGAACAAGTATGTATATCCATATGGATATGAACTATTCAGACATACTGTTTAAAGCACTTTATCTAAGGTACTCAAACAAAACTAAATTGATGTTAAAATTTGCACATCGTTCATTTTGCTTTTGTATCATTAGAGCCTTACTACAGGCTAACATATAAGGATGTTAAAATTTGCACATCGTTCATATCTGCTCCTATAAATAGCAGACCCCTAGACCCTCTAAACACACCTCAGAAGAGCAGAAACATGAGAGAGAGTTAGTTCATAGAGCTCCGGTTTAAGCACAAAACTGATGAGCAACAAAATAGAGTGGTTGTTTTATCTTGGAGGCGACCGGCTGATAGTCTGCTGTGCGCAATACGAGGCAGTGCCGCGAACGTCTTAAAGAGAGCGACCTAGTCCGCGACTCAGCCAGATCGGTAACCCTAATTTTCATGTTCTGTTTTCAATAATTTTAAGACGTTCTGCTACTGCTATGGTTCCCAAACAAGATACCGATTCTGGTTCGAGCGATTTCTATCACCCCATGCTTTGCCGGACGTTGGTGCCGAAATCGATACAACAATGACACCGTTGCGGCGTAGACGGAGAAGCCCTGGGACAATCTACTGTCTCTCTCGCCTCTGAAAGCCGATTAGAATACTTTTTGGTAGGCTTGATTAATTGGATGCGCTGAATCTGGCCTCCACGTCTCAAAAAATTAGAAGAGGCGTGATTAATTGGTACGCTTGATTAATTGGCTGCGGACTAAGCTTGGAGGAACGCATCAATTGGATTCCTTCTTGGAATTAATTGGACCAAGGGACTAATATGCTTCTTGGAGTTTTTTTTTGGAACAGGACGGGAATTAGTGGTTCCACAATGGAAGCCCTGATTTTGTCAATTTCACAGCCAGGAAGGGAGAAAAATCAAAGTGCGCCGCTGGAGGAAGATCGTGCGAGCTCTAATACGGGGGAACACTTTACTTTCCGACTTAGTCAATGCTGGGATTTGGTCGAAGGAAGCGATTTCCGAAGTTGTTTGGCGATGGCAATTTTAGAGATTGGGAATTGTACTCCCTTCAATGAGTAACAAAATAGTCGCTACGAGAAAAAGGGACGGAAGCAGAAAGCAAGATCCTTGTGCTAGTAAGTACAGTATTTCCTGCCGGTTTTCTCTCTGATGATCCGCGTTGGCATTGGATTTTATGACGAGCTGAAGCTGGGGACTTCCTCGTATGGATCGGAGTCTGGGCCACCTCTTACCATGACTACCTTCAAGATAAAAGACTGGGCTTTGTTGCCCATATCATATGTTACAAATTGGTGACGGAGCTTGGGATGGTAAATTCAGGGCGGTCAAGCGGGTCATGGATGACACAAACGGCAGCTGCGCGGAAAACTTTCCTCGTCAAGAAACGAGCAAGTTGTGCGTTATGAAATCAGAACGCAATGATCTCTTGAGAAGAGGTAAGTACCTTATTCTTCCTCATAAGTCATTAGTGAATGATAAATTAGAATCAATTTCATATGAGTTTGTGCATGAAATTGAGAAAGGTTATGAATGCTAATAAGCAAATTAGAATTGACGCATGAATATATTGAGATGTGCTTTTCTCAATAACTAGAGTACAATTTTGTGCACATGCTATGAAGTATAGTAATTTTAACTATATGATTGCATAATCTAAAGCATATATGAATTCATATTCTATGATTAATATGCTAGTGAAATGGATTGTATGTCCATATTAATTACATGGAAGAAGTATTGGTTGTAGTACTAAACGTGCATTCGTGCGTGATTGAACGTAAAAGGTTCAAGAATCATAATAGAAAACCGAATCAAATTCACAACAATTAGAATGGTATCCTTCGTGCTAACCAAAGGATCATTAGCCAATCCTCTTAGAATGGCGCTTTATTTCTCTGCTATAGTTGCGAGAAATCAGGTCATATGACGCGAAAGTGTAGGAACAAGGATAACACTGGTTAAGTGTTTACTTGATTAAAGAGGAGGATTGGTGGTTGTGATGATTGTGAAAAGAACAAAGTTTAACCTTGTTGGTAACTCTGAAGAATGGTGGGTGAATTTTGGCACCTCGAAGCATACTAAGGCATATGCTATTAAGAAAATGTTGTTGAGTATTGCTCACTCTACTAATGACAGTGGTCATGAGAGTATGCATATGATGATAAGTTAAAGTCTTATGGGTCTTGAATGCACGCCTTTGACGTACATCTAGAAGAGTTGAATAGCTAGGGTCACATTCTCGTAATGGTTGTGATAGATATGTCATTTCCATAGCTAAGCTAATAGACCCATAAATATGTGATTAGAGAATCATAATCTTTGATCTGACACATTTGATATGGGTAAACGTGATGAAATGCTTATTTGGAATGGCTTGAAATGCTTTATCGCATTATTTTTGATTGCTCTGATTATTTGGTTGGCTAGTAGAAAAATTAGAGATCAGTGCTACTTGATTACAAGTAAGCATATGATTATATGTTTGGAGATCCTGATGACTAGGAAAATACAAGTTGTACACCTGCATACATGTTTAATGATGCTAGTGTAAATTTTTAAAGAACACCTAAGACAGTGTAAGAAAAATTAGATTATACTAGCATCGACAGTCTGTGAGAGGCAGCTGATAAACATAAGACCCAACTTAGTGAGGGTACTTGACAGGCTTACTGATTGTCCTAGTATGAAGTATTGAAATGCTATTGAAAGGGGTCATGAGACACCTTAAGAACAGTAGACCTTGATATAAGTTATCAACGGTTTCTGGCTGTATTGGTAGGGTATAATGATGCGGACGAGAATACCCTATAGAAGATTCCAAATCATCCAGTGCACATGTTTTAAACATCACTGGAGTGTTGTGTCTTGGAATTCTAAGAAGTAAACGACCCTGGCTCAATCAACTAAGAAATCAGAAATGATAGAGATAGCAATGGTTAGTAATGAGAAAAATTGATTGAGAGGGTCATTATTAGAGATTCCCTTATGGGAAAGACCGATCCTCCGGTAGTTGATTCATTGTGATAGCACCGCAACTATTACTAAAGAAGGGAACCGGTTCTAGAAATAAAAGATATGAGAAATTTGTCATAAGCACAGTATTGTAAGAGAAATCCTAACGATAGGAGCAATGAGGGTGGATCCTGTAAGGTCCTAACAGAATCTAGCTGATCCTTTGACGAAAGGATTATCTAGAGAGAAAGTCCAAAATACCGCCAAGGGTATGTGACTTATGCCTACCGAACCACGAACTACAAGTGATGGTAACCCGACCCAATAGACTGGAGATCCCAAGAAATGGGTTCAATGGGTAATAACAAGTCATGGGTAGTATGCGAAAAGTTCATGCATAGTGAAGCATGAATCCCAAAGCAATGGAGGTTGAGTTAACAACTCCTAATAAGATCTATACCCTATGCGGGATGGAGTACTTTACTTTGGGGGTACTCCAGATAGACTCACCTATGTGAATGTGGGAGTGGGGCCACCCCCTATGGAAATTTGGAGGCACAAAGTTGCTAGAGCGTTCACTAAACCGGGATAACGTGCATGGCCATAAACGCACGGCCTATGAGAGAATATCACTCAATGAAAAGATCCAGTGTGCTACATTGTCTGAGATAGGGTTCAAGACGACGAGTCACCCTTATGAAATCGGAAGTGTAACCACTACGCCAAGGTTCAAATCTTTGTGATACCTTAGCTTATGCCCGATTTTATGGAGTGACTGTTTTATCCTGGAGGCGACCGGCTGATAGTCTGTTGTGCGCAATACGAGGCAGTGTCGCGAACGTCTTAAAGAGAGCGACCTAGTCCGCGACTCAGCCAGATAGGTAACCATAATTTTCATGTTCGGTTTTCAACAGTACTCTATTCAAATTACATGTCCGTTGTGGTATATCTTATTAGAATTGATCGTTTATCCAAGTTTAATTAGCTGAGAATCTGATCTTCGACGACTGCTTTTATGCAGTAAAAGTTGTCGATGAGAGGAGAGTGAAAAAGCGAGAAAGTCTGTTTGTAACTTAAATGCAACAGATCACTGGAAAATTATAGTCAACTACCCGTTTCAAGTACATGTTTACTAACTAATCCTAACTACATGCATAACAATCCTTATACTATATATAAAAATTCATCAATTCAGTTCTATCTAATATCTTTCTTCTTCAATCGAAACCATTGCGAAAGACAATATTACGCTTTTGAACATCTTTCAACTAATGCGTTTTTATTACTATCGGCATTTCCAAATATATATTTTTTAGTATAATTTTCCACAATATTAGAACATGTTCATCGTCATTTTTCATCTTGAATCCTATAATCCCCCAAATTTCGCATTTCATTTTAAGACAATTGGGTCAAATTGTCTCATCTAATTTCATCATCCAAAGTTTGTTACACATCATACTTAAATCAACCGTCAATAATCAGCCTCAAGAACCAATTCATCACCATATATATAACTTAATGAACTGCCCAAGAAAACCCAAGAATAAACATACATCGTTACCTTATACTTCCCTCAATTGAATCTGTCAGAAGATTGAAATTTACATGAATATGTTATATTTAAAGTGAAATCAGCCGGAAGTTGCACCGAATAAGTCAATGATCTAATATTTATACTTAAATTATGATTCAACAATTTTTTACCTTATGATCTCTATACTGATTTGAGCTCCAATAAGAGTTTCCTTCAAATCAGACCGTCTAGCGCCTGTACAATACAATTTCACAAACATTGCTGAAAGCATGAACTACTAAGTAATACTGAAATTGATCAACACACAGAATACGAAACATCTCAATTAAAACTTTGTTATATCGTATCAAGAAAGGATTCATTTCAAAAATTCAAATCTTTGTATTTCTCTTTGGCAGGGCAGGGCAAGGCAGCCACTGTTTCCCGAGTTTGCCATGCCACCACACGACACGTCTGCAATATTTTGTCACCACCCTCAATAAACTTGGTCAGCTAGCTGCAGCAGTGGGCCGGGGGCACATGCCCTATGACGAAAGCTTTTCTCCTACTCGTGAGTAATAGCTGTTAAAAAACCTTAACCATGTAATTACATAACTTACATGTAACAAATATATCTTAGCTAATATTTTGAACCACTGAAAATATCGGATACTAACTCTAAATGATAGCTAATTTATTTTAGGGTGAAAATATCGGATGGATACTAAACTATAAACGATGGCTGATTTTCGAAAGACTTGAACCCAAATCGGCCGGTTACTAACCGACCTTGGACCGGAAAGCCGATAATTTAGCACCAACTGCCGGTTGATTTGGAAAGAAAACCAAAGGAATTGGGTCCCTTTGGCCACACACTGTACTTACTATTTATAGCACATGGTGCTGTATCCCTTTTTAGGGGATTTAACAGTGTGAGCTTAATTAATTATTATGTCCATGTTACAATGCCGATCGACCGCCTTCACAAATAGCACCTACTGTAAGAAATGCTAGTGAGTCTTTGAATACTGTTTTAGTCACGGTAAGCAAACAATTGGCGACGAACCCCACCGTCACTAATTCAATTATTTGTTTTATCTATACAAATACAATACAGGGTTGCTAAGGAACGGGAACTTCGAGCTGTGACCCAACACCACATCCCTCAAGGGCACCCAAGTAACGAACCGATTCGCGATCCCCGAATGGGAAGATCTCGGGGTTCGTGGAGTACATCAAGTCGGGCCAGAAGCAAGGCGACATGCTCTTGGTCGTCCCCGAGGGCGCCTTCGCCGTGCGGCTGGGGAACGAGGCGTCGATCAAGCAGCGGGTCAAAGTGATCAAGGGGATGTACTACTCGCTCACGTTCAGCGCGGCTCGAACCTGCGCGTAGGAGGAGAAGCTCAACATCTCGGTGGCGCCGGATTCCGGGGTGCTGCCCATGCAGACCATGTACAGCAGCAAGGGGTGGGACTCGTACGCCTGGGCTTTCCAGGCGGAGTATGAGTATGCTGATATTTTGATCCACAACCCTGGTGTTGAGGAGGATGCTGCTTGTGGGCCGTTGATCGATTCTGTTGCCATCAGGGCCTTGTACCCTCCTAGGCCCACCAACAGTAAGCTTACTCTTCATCTCTTCTCTCCCCCTCTTATCTCTTTAATGCTTGTCCAACCGGGGAAAGTTAAACTGCTAACTCAAAAATTCGTTAGTAGATACTAATTGATATCCAAGTAGTAAAGTATCCAGAGAGCAGAGACTAGTATTAAAAGTTTGCTAACTAATATCCATCATGAATCAACTATTATCCCAAATTCACAAACTAATATCTAGACAACACATAATAGTATCCAAACAGCACATAATTAGTATCCAGATAACACATAAGAGTATCCAGTGAACCTATAAGAGTATCCATATTGAATACTAGTTGGTTGATTGTGGATATTAGTTGGAATATGCTATCTGGATACTAGTTTGTGATGTTTTGAATACTAGTCTGTGATAGCTATATACTTAGCAGACTTGGATATTAGTTCATACATTTTGGATATAAGTTAGTATATACTAACGAATCTTCAAGTTAGCAAAATAACTAGGCTGTGTCCAACCACGGGTAACTGAACAAAAAATGGCTGGAATATCATTTGTATGAAACACTAGTCAAATTAGGTAAAAAATAATCAAAACATAAAAAAGAAAAGAGAAATTGACTGGAATCGTCGATTTTTCAGTCTCTAAAGAAAATTGACGTTGTTTTTTAGAATTAACTAACAAATAGAAAGAAATTTATCGGATTCAAGTACGAACATTTATATTTTGATGTTATTTATTGAATTCAAGGATAAACTCTTTGATGTTGATGTTAAATTGTTGTTTTTTATATAATGATTTCTTAATTATTTTGTTTGAAATATAGTATTTTATTTTATTTAAATATAGATTGAGATTATAAGTAGATTGTCTTAAGATGGATTATATAAATGCACAATTCATTTGAAAACCAAATTTATATTACCCTTATCCAAAAAAAAATGCACAATTCGCTTGTTGTTATAGGTTTTCCACTTCCTGATATGTTTTTGTTCATATCATTATAGATAGACATACAAACCAACTATACGATCTAGTTGAACAATATCACTTGCTGAACCAACATAATAATTTAAATTGATTCGACAACTTTGCTTAAATATCTTGAGTTGGCTGGCTTGATGTATCATGCACTGTTGTTTGTCAGACAACATATTCAATGCATTGCATGGGAAAAATAAAATAATTTGTGTGGGTACTAGTCTATATGGGGTAGGCTTTCTTTCATAACATATCGCGTGCAATTTGATCTATGCAAGAATAGCTCACTCCATTGAATGCCTTTGCTTGCTTATATAGCCTTGTTTCCCCAACTGGCTTCTTTAATTCCGCCACTGTCCCACCTCCAAAAATTTGCACCAAGAATAGCAATGTCTGTGGATAATTTGATCCAATTATAATGATTGATATGGATATTAGGTTGAACGCGCGCAAATGTATTTGTAATGATTCTAGATTCGAGTTGAGTTGAGTTTGAATTTGGGTCTAATTTGATTAAAACTTATATTTGCGTATTATTGATCATGGACCATCTCATTAACCGAACCGCCTTCCACAGAGAACATATATACTGAAGAAGGGAGGATGGGAAGAAGGCCCCTACACTACAATACATCCTCCCCAACTCCCCTCTCCCCGGCTGGATGGTCGAATCCCTCAAGGGCAGGCCGTCAAATTAATACATAGACTGATCCAACCACTTCTCCGTCCCCCAGGAAAGAGAGCGCTATCGCCCAGGTCGCACGCACCGTCCCGGGGACCTCCTACACCTTGACCTTCCCCGTCGGCGACGCCAGCAACGCTTGCGCCGGGTCCATGCTCGTCGAGGCCTTCGCCGGCAGGGACACTCTCAAGGTGCCCTACAGCTCCGGCGGGAAGGGCGGATTCAAGCGGGCGGTGCTCCGGTTTGTGGCGGTTTCGACCCGGACCCGGATCATGTTCTACAGTAGTTCGTTTTACCATTTGCGGAGCGACGACTTCTCGTCGCTGTGCGGTGCGGGCCTGTGATCGACGATGTCAAGCTGCTGAGCAGGAAGCGCGTGTGATGCACGTGTTGAGGGATATATGGGTGTCGCCGGTGGTTGGATATATTATACTAGCTTATTACCCGGCCCGTTGGCTAGATTACTGTATGTTACCCACTTGTAGAATGGGAGAGAAAGCAAGTGAGAGTGAAGGGATTGGGATTCCACTTGATTAGGACCGACCCACTAATCCAATTCTTCTCGACCTGCCCCAACCTACAGGGTCAGAAAGAGTCAATAAAAAAATACGAACGGGGAGGATTAGTCATATATCTTGACTCTTCAGAAGTGGGTCAAACAGGATCAAGGTTGGGTGAGGGCAATTTTTAGCGCTAAGCAGAGTTCTGGGTTGAATACCTTTACTTAGGCCTAGAAATTGGTGCTGATGCAGACTGCAGTTTTTATTATACTATCATCAATCATCATTGAATTAGTCCTGGGCATCCCTCCCCGTTGTCGGTCTGAATTCTAATGATGGCTTCATTCCTTGCACCAGCCATATCAGCGAGTTGCCATCTCGAGCATGATTTGCCTATGTACAAATAATACAATTAGAGTATGAAAATGAATTCAATGAAAAGGAAAAGAGAATTTTATCACATGCCAATAAATACACACATAATAGTTGAAGCTAAGTGAAAGTCATTACTCGCACATCAATTCTCAAAAATTACAGACTAAACATTGGCTAGAATGGCACTGAAACTACCAAGAATCATGGACGAAACAACTTGTCAAATTAAATAATCCTTATACTGAAACTACCTTCTAACTTGAAATAAGACATGATCACAGTTCATAGCTCTCTTCTCACTATGAATTGGTTGCAGCTCGTCCTTATCACTGCCTCTCAAGCTCAATTCAAACAGAATAGAGACCGTTATGTAAGATAACCATATTCTTACTGATCATAATTCCTTTCTTCACTCCATTTTTGTCGGAGAAAAGAGTTATCCCTCTCTCCTGCATTTCCCTTTCCCCCTCTCTTCTCCCTCTTCTTCACAAACCGATCCTAAACCAGCAACAACAACACAAAAATAGCCTTCGCCTCTCCCGTCTCCATCTATTGAACGCGTTGGTGGCAAGACAGGACTGCAGAAGCAAAATTTTCTAAAATCAAACTAAATTTTTTGAAGCAGACTCAACCACGAAAAAAGAGTAAAGCAACAATGCAGTAGAACCCTAAATTTAACTACAATCAAGCACATATCAGCAAGATTTTCGATTTGTCTGAGAGTTAACTACACGGAGAGAACAATTGATGCATAATTGAAATGCTCCAAGCAAGTTGAAGGCAAACCATAACTTTAGAATTTGGTCATTATAATAACCTTCAAGTATTGATGCTTCTAAGAACTATCATGTCCAACCCCCACTTATACAACTACGTAGTCATAGTAGTTAGTTGTATAATGAGAAATATTACAAAGAAAACTACATAAACAACCAATGTAAGTAAATATTAAAACTAACAACTGATAAAACTTAAAATCTCTCTATTGGTATAAATGTATCTATTAGTAACTACTATGCAATCGAGTATATATGAGTTTTAGGCACTGAATAAGAAAAGTATAGATGGCTCACAAATGAAGACGTAGCAACTGAAGGTAGCACACAAAAACCAAAAATAGAAAAAGAGATAAGAAAAAAGGCGAGAAAAAGTCAAACAAAGAAAAAGCCCACATAGGAATACCTCGCTAGCTTTAGGGACTCTCTGCCACAACAAACAACCTTCTTAAAAATCTAACACCCTGAGACATCAAACAAACCTCCCACGACACTAATGTATGGCATTCCTATTGTCCAATAGGTTTGCCCCATTTAGACTTCTAAATAAATGGACTTTTCACCATTAAACCAAAACTCACAATCATTAACAGTTAATGCAAAGACATACATTTCTGAGGCCAATCACAGCATTTAAGCTTAATTTTTAGCTGAAAAGAACAACTAAGTATTTAGCTAAATGATATAGTAGAATGGACACAATCTGCTACCTACTAATGATATAAACGTGTACCGGTACTATCGTTGTATCCTGACTTGTCATTTGCAACGGGCACTTTGAAAGACAGCTGCATTTTAGAGAATAAACACCCATAAGGGCGTTACGAAACCAAGCTTAATCCAAAATCTTCATATTCCACTTCGAAGACTCTATTTTCAAAAATAAGAGAGTTTAACATGTCAAATCACTCATTTGAAAAATCTCAAACAACTATTAATCAATGCAATATAATGGCACGTTCCAAATTATGTACTTGTAGGAATAATCCCAAATAATTATCAATTAATGCCCCAACTACCTAATGTGCAGAATAGCCTGGAGCTGTGCTGTTGTTTGCGTTGGTCTACCTTCAAACATAACATAGTTGCATCACGAACCAAAGCAATTAAGCAAAAATCTTCATATTCCAAGTAGAATGACTCAATTCAATTTGGCCAACGCTTTATACATATTGTTTACCCCTGGACCTGTTGCACTTGCGCCTTCGGATCTTCGTGAACACAATACAATTGCGGAGAGGAGGCTGTCAACGAAATAAAAATTGTTAATTAAGTGAATCACCATAAAACTAAACAAACGCGCTCTTCTTGATTAGCTATCAAAATAGTGGGGGTCGCTACAATCCATCGGCTGCTCCCTCTGTGCCTAAGTTGTAGATATTAGGTTTCAGTGAGAACTTTGAGTACATGAGGAGATATTTTGTAGTGGAGGAGATGACCCGGCGAGTAGAATAGGAAGATTTGGAGAGGCTGCAATGGGCAAAGCAGTTAAAATCGAGATTTATCGAAAACTGGGGTAAAATCAAAATCGTATAATCGAATCGTAAAATCGTAGGATTTTAAGTACCATATAGAACTTAGCATATAAGAATATTGATAAGGTAAATTATTAATATCACAAAGACACATAGCATTTAAAATGATAATTCAGAAGATTTTTTTTTTCATAAGATAATTCTCAAGATTAATGTTCCAAAATCACTATTTTAATTGTTATTTAATGTGTAACTCAAAATAATTCATGATGAAGGGATATAGTTCATGGGTTTGGCTCTTATTTTCATGTTATGTCTAGGTTGTTTAACTCAAAGTAATATTTCGACATCGTCTACTAAGTATGATTTAAAACTAAAAATAATTGAACTCCAATAAAATAAGTAATGTTAGTGGCTTGGTACAAATATATTCATTAATAAATTAATTAGTTAATAATGATGTTAGTTCTTACATACTTCCAATATTAGGATAAGTGTTTTACCAATAAGTTAAATGGGGTGAAGGGAAAGAGATTAACCGAACCCTAATTTGGATATTTTTATTATTTTTGAATATTTTTCTAATAGAAAAATATCTGAGAAGATTCAATTGCCCTTTCCGCTGAAACAGTTATACTTATTTTAAATTGGCTCAAACCACCTATTTTGTTCTCTTACGATCAAAATCCCAATTTCGGTACTATTTTACGATTTTAACGATTTTAGTCCCGATTTTAAACGATTTTAAGGTCCACCGATTTTATAGTAAAATCAAGATCGGAATCCCTAAGTAAAATCCTAAAATCCTACGATTTTACGATCAAAATCTCGAATTTGACTGCATTGGCGATGGGTGCACGATTAGTGGGCCAAATAATAGTTTGGGCCCGTTTAAATGAAAACCTATTTTTACTTTCGTGCTCAACAGACCGACCGCACTGGCATCTTCTAAATTTACCCCTAAAAAATTGCTCTGTACGCATCAAATTTGAAATGGAATCCCTCTTTTCTCATTTCACATTTCACATTTATATGATGTGTAGATTGTGATGAGTGTAGATGTAGACCTGTCATTGTCCTACAAATTCATTAACACGGCAAAAAGTGGTGAAATGAGCCACCCTATTAAACACAATCTTGTATAATGATCATTGGATCCAATCATGCCAGATTATGAAGAAGTTTAAAATGTAGCGGTTATCCAGACTAAAACATTAAAAGAACCAATCTCATATAGTTTGCACAAAGATATAATTTCTCCATAGTAATTCTGAAATATAATATTAATTTAAGAAGTCGATATTGCTTCTACATGTTTAATATTGCAATTCGATATGCAATATTTGAACCAGTGATATTTGGGCTGCAATTTTAGGGTTATTGTATATTTATAAAATAGATAGAAATTTAAATTAAGTATTAAACTATAACTAAAATAATCAAAGTATTAAAACACCAAATAAGTACTTACAGGAGATTCAGTGGCCAACTAATCGTTAAAAAAGTCATATGATTTTCATAATTTATGTTCGTGTATGTTTGAATTTAAATAGATACAATAAATATACTTAGTGTGATTGGTTATGATTCTTGCTTGCCTTTCAAGAGACCAAGGTTCAAATCCCAGTGCATGCCTTTTTTATGAATAAATAAATAAGAAAATAAGCAATTGTGAAGACCAAAATGTCCTTCCTATAATCACTCTTGTTGCAGGAAATTTGAAATGGAACAACAGTTTTCATCATTCGGCTTTTATTTATTACTAGCTTATTACCCGGCCCGTTGGCCGGAATACTGTATGTTACCCACTTGTGGAATGGGAGAGAAAGCAAGTGAGAGTGAAGGGATTGGGATTCCACTTGATTAGGACCGACCCACTAATCCAATTCTTCCCAACCCGCCCCAACCTACAGGGTCAGAAAGAGTCAATAAGAAAATACGAACGGGGAGGATTAGTCATATATCTTGACTCTTCATAAGTGGTCAAACATGATCAAGGTTGGGTGAGGGCAATTTTTAGCGCTAAGCAGAGTTCTGGGTTGAATTCCTTTACTTAGGCCTAGAAATTAGTGCTGATGCAGACTGCACTTTTTATTATACCATCATCAATCATCATTGAATTAGTCCTGGGCATCCCTCCCCGTTGTCGGTCTGAATTCTTATGATGGCTTCATTCCTTGCACCAGCCATATCAGTGAGTTGCCATCTCGAGCATGAT